TCCTCTGGTGGATGTGGAAGACCAGGAATTTGTGGGTCTTCTCTAATATTTGGAGATCTGAGAAGGATACTATTAGCCTAGCTTTGCAAGATTGGTTGGAATTCTCTAATGTAAATAGACTTTCTGTTTGATCTTTTGTTGTAGTTTTGTTGTAGTCTCTGTTTAGCCATTTTGAAGACTAGCTAGGCCTTCTTGGCAGTGGTTAGCCTTTTTTTCCTGTAGTTTGTTTTGTTATTTTCTTGTTGATGGGGTGAGAGTTTAATTCCTGGGTGATTGGTGTAGCTTCCCAGGGAAGTGCTCTCATTTTCCTTTGATTTTTCCGCTGTCAGGACGGTTGTATTAGGGCAAGTTTGTCCTCGTTGTAACTTCTTTTTCTGAGCAATATATCCTATCGTTTCGAAAAAAAAATAGTTTCCCAAAATGGTATGCATTAAATGTTTCCTAAATTTTTGGCTACTATTTTTAATAAATGATACTCCCTCCTATTTTTTTAAAATGTCATTCTAGCTTTATCAACTATTTGCCAAATAAATGTCGTTTTGGATCTTTTGTACATATTTTTTCATTATTACCCTCATTTAGCCAATAAATACATTACGTCTTTTTATATTCACTCTTCACTTTTTCTCAAAACATTCATCTCTATCTTCATTAAATAAGGTTATTATTGACAAAAAAATTCTTAATTAGTGTGCAACTTCTCAAAACGATATGTATTAAAATAGGAGGTAGTAATTCTTATTATATAGACTAGTACGTACCCCGTGCGATGCACGGCACAGAGATATTAAATGCATTAATTTAACATCCTTGTTCGTTTAAGTCTAAAAGGTAATAACTACAACATAAATGGCTTTAGGTACCACCATTTAGTGTAATTCTTTAGACAATAGGTAATACAGTATTGACGATGCAATTGTTTGTGCTACCTAAAGTCAAAGTTAATACTTTTCGTAGTTTTTGGTAACACTTATATGATACTTTTGCTAGTTTTTGGTATTACTTATATTAAAAGTGTTACAATAATATGATACAAAACCCATAATTTGTAGAGTATTACAATAAATGGTGCTACCTAAAGCCATTTATGTTGTAGTTATTATCTATTTTCTATCTCTTTTAATCAACGTTAAGTCTAAAAAACAATAGGGTTATAAGTTTTTTTCCACATTTTTTAACCAGCATTGTTTTTTAGCAGGAACATTAAATATGAGCATGTTAGGGCTAGCTTGTAAAATAATTAATATATTATCTCACTAAAACATTTATACTAATATAAATTTAATTTCAACATATAAATTTACCCTTGATATAAGAGAAAGTAACAGTGTTACTTATTCTTGTTCACCATATAATATTTAATTATTATTTTATTTTATAATAAAAAGAAATACTGTTAAATAGTGTAGTAGAATTGTTATAAAATTATATGAATTATTTTTTTTACAATATGGATTTAATATCTTTTTATGGTTTGATAATATAACTATAATATATTCTTATTGATATAATAATATGAAATACAAATTTACATAATACTATGGATTTATTCCTTAATGTTAGGATTTTGAATTAGGTAATATATGATTCACTAATTTGTAATATGTTTTTTTTATATTGAAAATAATCATGTGATTGAGTACAGATAACAATTATCTATAAATCCATTCATTTAAGGTATCATTTTTAAATTGGTCCAAGTGTTGAATGCAGCCCGATTTTCTTGTAACTAAAATGAGAAGAGATTTGAATTTTAATTTTTCACTTCAAATCACACATAAATTTTGATATAGATTTTATTAAAAATGAAATCAACAAAACTCATAATTTCAGGGGCATTTAATACTACCATATTTTATGATTTAAAAAATCTAAAAACTTTCTAAATATGATGTGCAATTAAATATGAGTTGACTATTCTTTCTACTAATTTTAGTAAAGTGGATGGCTTTTTATATAAGTATAGATATGGTAGAGCGGAAATCGCTTCCTCAACTTCGTCGACCCTTAAACGAATCCCTTTTCGAATCGGAGCGAGATCTCTCCCGAACTGCCAATAAGTGCTTTACTTGAACATGGATGATTTAAAAATTCTAAAAACTTTCTAAATATGATGTGCAATTAATTATGAGTTGA